GCTATATTTAATATATTATATATAATATATATAAATCTTGTAACTATAACTGGGATTCATAATAAAATACTTAAAAACCATTCTACGGATTTGTTATATAATTAAAAAATGCCTGTAACAATAATATTTATCCCAATACATTAAAAGTGCTTGTCATGTCTTCAGAAATGCAATTCTATGACCTGAGGCACTGGAACGGCCATTGCTAAAATGACTGGGACTGAGTAACAACCCTTAAATTTCTGTGCATGCAGGAAAAAGTTTAAGTTGAGAGACCAACACAACCATAGTAAGATGTCCCCTCCCACATCCCTGTGGCCATTCCTTTTGGAGCAAGAAGCAGAGGAAGGCTGAAAACGGAGCAGTCATACAGCAAAATCACACATCCACGCTGCTCACTGAAACCTCTGACTACACTAACCTAAACAGAATGCAACTATTGAAAAGCTGTATAGTTTGGGATAACCAAAAAGAGATGAACCTGACTAAAATCACAACAAAGCCAAGAACACGTTCAATTTTAAGGCATCCTTCCAGTGCCTTCAGGTATTTGATATTGTGCACAACGGAGTTTCTCAGGGGGCAGAGAGAAAGTGCTTATAAGAGAAGGGCATTTACCTTCTCCATCTCGCAGACTGTACATCACAGCACCTTTCACTGGGCATGAATTACTTAAATAGTAATAAAAGAATAAAAAATGTAACATACTGCTAGATACTGTGCCAACTTCATAAAAACTAATTAGAGTACTCCTTACAGTAAGAGCAGAGATTTCCAAATTTATCAGGAAAACGCACAGAAAACACAAGTTTAGATTTACAGCACCAGTACCAAAGCTTCACTATGAAAATGAGATACAAACCAAAATATATGTATGTATTGTATAAGGTTCCAGTCATTCCCTGCTGTTTACAGAGTCATATCCATCAAGGAAAAGGGAATTTAATCAATTACATGGCAGCCATTATTTTAAAAATTAGTTTAGTTGACTTGGCAAAAGCTAAGTGCTGGGTTTTTTTGCAACTGAAATGAAATACCCTTCTTTTAAGAAAATACCTAATTAGAAAATTCAAGGGTGATAGATGATAAATCTCTTTAAAAGTACATTTGTTATAGTCAGATTTTTAAATTGAATTTTAAATTGAATTTTAAATTATGATTAACAATTTTGTATTAAGTTTACAGCCAAAGTCTAAATTTAAGTTTAGACAAACTGTACTTCATCTGTTGGTTCACCAACATGCTTCGCCTACAATGAAAATATAATGGGAAAAAAACCTAAACAAAACCTGCTGTTTGAGGTTCTCTGCTGATACTGCCATTGAGGAGTCCAATTCCTATCAATTTTGGTAGAATTCATGATGTCCACACAGCATAACCTGTACTGCAATGAACTGGATTGACTTGAAATTTTACCTCACAGCTAAAAAAAAAAAAAAAAAAAGGATCCCCATATTAGAGTACACACAGCCAAAGCTGACTTTACAAAAGCAGTAAAACACTCATTCTGCTTGCCTACCTCAGCCTTCCTAGAAAGGAAATATAGGCAGGAAAGATTCATTTAACAATCTGAGTGGGAGGGGGAAGAGGAGAATAATTTTTCAGTCCTGGAAGGTTAGAAGTATGTTCTACTAATTAGAATTAATTCAAATATTAGCGAAAAGCATAGTGAACACTGACTCCAGCTCCTGCGAAGCAGTAACACTTCCAGCCCAAACCAGGAGTGCTTCTTCTCATTTTCAAAAATAAATTTCTCCCATACAAAAAGAAAAAGCTAATAATACTGCAGTCAGTAGCTTTAAAAGTATCAAGTTCAAACTGAAGGTAAGAGGACATGGTATGGTTGGTGCCAAGAAAATTACAATTTAACAAATGAGAAGGCAAAAATATCCAATTATGAGCCAACAGAATGGAAGTCAAGTTCAAAGCTAAATTATAATTTAAAAGAATCAGAGACATTCTGAGATTGGCCAAAAAGAGTCCCTTTTTCAATTTAAATCAAGTAGATTTCTTTACAGGAATGAAAATCAGCAATATGCTGTTACAGTAAATCACCCAGATGCAGCCAGGACCAGAGCAGGGCATGTGGTCAGTACGACCACAGTACGCAGCAAAAGGGAACCAAAAGGAATCCCCTCCTGGCTACGTTCTTTTCTTGTTTCTGCAGGATAAATGTTCAACACCGGTACGCAGGAACAAGTACCTACTCGAGACAAATAGAGGAATACTTTTTTGGGGGAAAAAACCTAAACCAAACATACTCATCTTGGTGAAAGTTGAGAGTAAATAAATCTCTTCAAACAAGAAATTAAATTTGCCAGTTTGGCTGAATAATGAATTCTATGAATCCCTAAATTTTGGAAATCTATGTTACTCTAAAATATCCTAGAATAAGTTACGGTACAATTTTCCTATATTTTGAGAACTGTTTGCCCTTATTTTTTTCAATTTTTCTTCTTTCTAACTATTACAAATTATTCCTTTCTTTAGCATTTTCAGTTGATTTACTCTAGGCTTGACAAAATGAAGTCCTGGACCCACAATTTCCTTGCTCTAGTCACTGATGTCGTAAGTTAACGCTACAACTAAAGATGTGTAGGATTGTGCAGAAGTAATTTTTATATTAACAACTGTATCTCATCCACTAGCTCCATCATTAGAAACACCACCAAATAAAAGTGTCTGTAAACACAATATGTAAGATGAATATAGCACTTCCAAAACCTTTTCATCTTTAACATCAGAAAATGGAACACTGTGCTGGAAAACTGGAAAATTTATGCAGGAAGTATGAATAATCTACCCAAGGCCACAAAGGTAAACATTATCAGCTAAGATAAAAACTCCAAAGTTCAGACTGCAAAAAGTGACAAATCTCATCCAATATTTGACAGCCTCTCCCAGCAAGGAAGTTTTCCACAGAATTATGAGTTTAACATGGTCAAATTGGTCTTTCAGGGATTTTTCTCTAATATGTCCACTGCTGAGCAACATAAACTCTTCCAGTGAAGTCCTTTGTATGACAAACTGTGTGTGTGTGCACACAAATACACATGCATTTCAAAAGGAAAAAGCCATTCTTATCTCATTCAGCTAATATTAATGGAAAATGCTTTTAAATGCTACACTATTTCTTTTTCCAAAGTGGACCCACCACAATTTGTGATTTGATGACCAATTTTCCATTTTTATTTACAGGAAGATCTCTTGATTTGTCAGAGCCTCTGACAAAAATCATGGCATAGAATAGCAGAGACAAACCATGAGTTAGATTCTCAAGCGTGATTCATTAAAAATGAACTATGACTAGCCCTCCTAACTTGTAATTTTTCTTCATTAAAGAGCCTTTTAAACTACAATTCTATTTCTCTGACAAAATTAACATCCACTATCCCGAGAATTTCTAACCTGTAAAAATATCTGATGGAAAATGTCCTTATAGAATTAGTTTACTGTAGTGACCTAATCTGAAGAAGTTAGAACAAAACAAAAATATTATATATGGTTTGGTGAGGAAGAACAGGATGTGCTTCTTGTGAATTACACTGACAAATACTATATTGACTATAAGGCAAAGTCAAGGTGAAAAGTAATGGAAGGGGCAGCTGAGAGGAAATACAAAAAAACCCACCTCTCACAAGGTAAGCACATATAGAGACAACACTTCAACTCTAATTACTTGCCATGTAAGCAACAAACCTGCTCTCAACAATTTTGAGAATGTTTTCCAAATTTCACGCACAGCTGAAGAGATCACAATGAATGACTGAAGTCTTAGCCAGAAATATTAAATAGGAAAAGGAAAGACCTGCTATATAAATCTGTAGCTCACAGAGAAAAAAAATGCTGGATAACATTAGAGGAAAAAAAAGGCACAATCCTCTGGTAGGTCCGACAACAATTTGAACAGAGAGGGTGACAGTGGTCAAGCAACTCCAGGTGTTTTCATGCATACGTATATATTTGTAGCGTATCTATGTCTATTTAATTCAGCTTTTACTTTCTTTGTGCTCTTCAGTAATCAAGTATTTGATTTGTAAGATGCTACATAAGTGCCAGCAGGCACAAAATGGTATAATAAATACACTCTTCACAAAATATAAAAGCCATGCACTTAGTGAAGAAAGCATAGCTCTTCAGCTAAGTGGAAATCAGTATCTCCCTTTTATTTTAGTTCTGCTCAGCCACTTGAAGAGTCCCAGCTGCCACAGAAAGTCATACAAACTCCAAGCCCTGCTCTGTTTAAGTTTCTGTTTCATAGCTCACTTCAGAAGTGTGAACAGGATACTTCTTGGTGAACTGTAAGAAACTTCCTTAATAGACCAAGTGAAAAAAAAATCTGATTACTTTTTCCATTTTAGCAATTCATTTGAAATCAGATCCATTACAGAAGCATCAAGTCATTGGTTCTTGTTTTATCACATGCTTTATAAAGACAGGTTTGTTACAACAGCTTTGAAGGGGACCAGCAGTTAGGTTCGCACTGGCCACGTTCTTGGGGAGAAACACCTTGGAAGACCCGTGGTTCCCCAGGACAGGGCTTTTAGAGTTCAGAGCTGGGCGTCCCTCAGAGATTAAAGTCACAGAATTAGTACCAGGTGGCACCACAGATTTCTTAGGGAATAAACTTTTGCTTTGTTCTAGAACAACATGGTTTATAGAAGAGGTGGAGGCACCAGATAGTGATTCTTTTATCACTTCATTTGGGATCTTGCTATATAGGTAACTGGGGGCGTTATTCTCCATTATATCTGACCAAGCCCTGTAGCGAACTTCTGCAGCTCCCCAGTAGTGTCTAATGGCAGACTCGGAGCGGTGGCCTGTCACTGCCATTATTTCTCTAGGCCCCAGTCCTGCTTCACACAGTAGCTGGATGGTGGTAGTTCGGAGAGAGTGATTGGTATAACGTTGAGAGAGCCTGGCTGCCACACTTATCCTGGGCATCATGGTACCCAAGTAGTTCACACCCATGGGCTCTCTTTTGTACCAGACAGGCTGTTCTTGCATTTGCTCTGACGTTAGCTTTAATGGATGCAGATAAAAGGCAGGGGGCTCCGGAGGCAACTTAGACAGATAAAGCTCCAAGGAAAAAACAGGACAGTTTGGGTCCCCTGGCATATCATACATTTTACCCATTTTATGAGGATCTTCTCCATTTTTTCCTTTGCCCGGATACCTAAACATAGCATATCGACGCCCGTTCTTGTCCTTCTCAATAACAAAAGCGTCTGGAGCCAGATCTCTTAAAATTTCCCTCCCTCGTTTGGCAAAATGCAACTGCAAATCAAACCACACCTTGTTGACGAGCGCCAGTGGGCTATGCAATCCCAGCACACCAGATTGTTTAATCTTACGCAAGTCCTCTGCAGCTATAGGAGGATGGTGGTGAGTCTCATCCTTGCCCTGCATGCGCAGCATCTTCAGCACGCTCACAAACACTGTGTTTGCGCTAGCAAACTCTTTGTCCTTCATTAAGCAAATCTGACGATTATAAGGTGGCATTTTGAGATGCCGGTTTAAGCCAGCACGCATTGACTTGTAGCTTGCCACACTGTAGGTGTTTCCGTCGTGATTCCTTATTGTGTAATAAAACTCTCTTAAGATATCATTGAGTTCACTTACTGGGACCAATTCAAAGCTAGGATCCTTGCCATTTTTGGCCAGCCATTGTTTTAATAGGTTAGCTGCCCAGCCAGTCTGCTTGTGGGTGTTTTTGATGCTCTTAGCATCCTCTTCCTCTTCCTCCAAGCCAAAGAGAACATCCTCGGGGAAGTTTAAATTCGTCTGTGCTGCTTCTACTTCTTCTTTATTTTCTGATGAAGTCTCTTCCTGTTTCAACTGCTTTTCGAAACAATTGATCAAAGTTGTACCATCAAATATGCCACAGGTATACGGCACACAGCGAACTACTTTTTGTTCTGAGAGCTGTGAAGTGCGGAGTAATACATAATATTTTGGATTTTAAGTAACAAAAAGCAGGTGGCATTAACTGGCTTTTTCAAATGATATGGCATGTCAATTCCATACCTCACTAGCCAATTAAAATGCATCAGATCCTTCTTTATTAACCATGGCATTATACATGCTTTAACTGATTTGACTGAAAGCAGATCTAGAAACATACACTGCAACACAAGTCTGAAAACCGGAAAGCATCACACCTTTATTTCCTTCCTCCTTGCTCACCTTGTATCGCTAAATACCATTATCACACACAATCTGTTTTTCCAATATCTTTTCCGGGTTTCAGGCTCTACCGAAGGAGAAAAATTCCAAAATATTCATCTTCTACTGAAAATTAAATCTTGAAACCGTACATCTGACATCCATTTTGGTACTGAATTTCCTACATATCAAGTACTGATAAATGTTTTAATAGCTATAATCCACAGGTATCTTTGAAAAATAAAGTTCCAAACAACCATTCTTTATCAAATGCCTTAATAAAGGCACAGTTTATAATACTGTTTATCTTTGCCAGGCTATTTCTGCAACAGGTGAAAACCAGAATCTTGTCCAGTATATTTTCTTCTTGGTTTAAAATACAATTCATATTTAACTCTACCTTAAGACATTATTAAATGGGGAAATTTTGGCTAGAATAAATTAATTTTATTCCTCTTAATAAAATAACTTCCCATTAACAGCAATGTAAATATGTCGCTTTGTGAAATATTGTATGCGGAAATAAAAATTATGTATAATTTAAAATATCTTAACTTCAACCTTTAAATTCCAAAATAAGTTCAACAAATCTAGAAGCAAGTTCTCCTTTATTCTCCTAAAGAAAGTTTATTTTCCTTCTTTTTTTTCCCTATGACATATGGCAATGAAATATTAGAACCTTAATTCTTACTGACTTCTGGATTAGTGTGGAAATGAGAGAGCTGCAGTAATTTAAAGAGTATTTGTAGATTTAATTTCAAGCCCTTCAGAAAAAAATCTGGGTGGTTTTCTTTTGTATGTTAGCTCTGTTGTATCAGACACATTAAGTGTACTCCTGAATTACTAACTCATCTACTTACACGAACCCCATCAGAAAACTTCTGAAAGATTATCAGAAGCTCATGCTCCAAGTAATACTCTGGATCAGAAGAGAAATACAAATGGACAGAAACTAGAAAAGGATGGCACAAAAAAGAAACTAAAATTGATCATTATAAGCAATAAAGGTAAAGAACTTTTCTCCTGTGGATTGTAACTTTCGATTTTTATATAGAAACAGAAATAACAACCTACCTGCGTTGTTCCCTCAGCAGTTCGCTTGTTTGCCGAAGTATCTGCTGGTGGCCTGCTTGTCTGGTTTTCTGAGGGGGTCAAGAAATTGTTCATTTGCAGTATCTAATCACTACTAAATACTGCTATCTATTCTACAAAATTGGAGGCAATATTCCAAATTGTTTGATAGTAAACATTTAGTATCTGGCACATTTAACATTTTTCTGCCTTAATTTTCAATTATAAGTATTCAAGCTTGATTTTTTCTATTTTTCAGAGGGAACAGGAGATACAGAAAAACTAATTGGCACTTTCCAGCCTAGAAGCAGTGTGTTTCCTTCCTTGAAAGTCTGACAGTGCGTTCAAAACATTTTATGAACAATTCCCTTCTCTGAGGACAGAGCATAACAACTCCAACCACTCTTCCCTCTGTATGTAAACTGCCAAGATTCTAAACTGAAAAATGTTACAATTATGCAATATTTTTGTACCAAAAATTGCCTGAACAGTGGATAGTCAGACTGCAAAATAACTGAAACAAGTTGTGCAGTGAGACCGAGCATCTTTATTAGCTCAGCCAAATACGTATCTACACTAGCCACTTAAGCAGAAGTTGCTTGAGTATTTGCTGTAAACATTTAAATCCAATTTTTCCCTTCTCATTCCTTTCCATTTTAACCACAGCTTATTAGCAACAGTGCTGGTCCAAAGCAGTGTTTCAATTCTAGTAAGAAAACTACTAGGGTAGACACCAAGGCTACGTGAACTGCAAAAAAAGAAATATTCTGAACACATAGGCCCTTCATTTGCTCACTGAGCCCCATATGTCACAACCCTTTTTACACTGTATTAAATCACTGTATTAGCTTTACAGCTAAAAATCAATACAAGGCATATAATTGTCCAACTGTGTGGAAGACATATTTTAATATAGGCAACTTTGAGATGGGAAAACGAAATAAAGCTAGTTCTGATGTCAAGCTCTGCTTGAATTCTTTCTAACATTATTTTGTGCCAATGAGAAACTTGCTATAATTCCAACTCACTTAGAAATCTTTAAGAAAAAAATATTCCAAGGTATGTAAATTCGTAAGTGCAGAGAATCATCATAGCATGGCCAAAGACGGCAAGAAAGTATTTTAAAGTAGTTAATCTAGATACCCTATTTGAACATTCACTGTGTTCAGACACTTTAGTTGAAATACAATAAATGTGTTTCTTTGGAACTAGCTTAGTAATCAGTTGCGGTTTTTTCCCCCTTTGTTTACTTTTAAGTGTTGTGAAAATTACGTTAATTATTATACTTCCAGTATGTCTTTGCTTAGAAAGTCAGACTAACTCTTTTGAGAGGTTGTATTAAAAATAAATACCAAGTTGTTAATAGTAGAATAGGAGTTTTTGATTTCATGCTAGGAATGACATAAATCCAGTTCTAAATAAAAGAAAGCTTACACAGTCACGCTACTGACTCCTTCTAAGGAGAGACTATTTTCCGCAATGGCTGAAACCTATCTATGGCAGATTATTTTGATCCTGACAATTTCAACAAACATCTTCATAAAATACTCTAACAAACAAATTTCCACAGGAATGGAGTTCTGTGTTTCCCTTTGACAACAACTTTCCTTTCCCAGTGTCAACACTGAAGCATAACTTACCAACTCTGGGCGCTGGAATGGCGGGTGGTTCAACAGGAGCTGTATTACTGAACGCAGAGATGGGGATCTTCATCTGTAGGGGAGCTCGACTGCTGGTAGTGTTATAAAGTCCTGAAGTACCCACTGTGGGCAAAGAAGTCCTTGCGGCCTGGGCAACAGAATGTGCAGTAGAAACAGTGTGTACTGCTAACGCTGTGCCTATTGATCCAGCACTGGCTGGAGAGTTCCTCTGAACACCAGGACTGGGCACAGATGGGCTGTTATTGTTATTTGGTTTAGTTGGGTTTGCTGATGCCAAAGACACTGTAGTAGTTTTGGTAAGGCCACCAACTGTAGATGAGCTATGTACGGATATAAATTCAACGCTGCCTGACTGTTGGTTAGTGACCAAAGTTCCGGTGTGGCCTTGCAGGAGCTGAGGCTGGGATGACACTGCAACAGGCACGTGCAAGATTACAGGCAAAGACTGCAATGAGACAGACACTGACTGAGTGCTGGCGCTGGGCACTTGGTTAGTGCCTACCACTGTAGCTGTGTTAGCTGTAGGAAGAACTGTTGTTGTCAAAGAGCTGGTGGAGGTCACTGGAGTCTGAGGCTTAGGATGTCCACTGACAACTGCTGGAGGAGCAGCAAGACTGGAAGCTGGCGCTACATTTAAAAAATATAATTAAAAAAAATAACTATTTGAATGAAGTGGGAAGTTTCACTTTAACACAACAAAATGAAATTATTTACGATGAGGGTGGTGAGACACTGGAATAGGTTGTCTGGAGAAGTTATGAGTGCCCTACCAGTGTAAGTGTTCAAAAGTCAGGTTGGACAGGGCTTTGAGCAACCTTGTCTGGTGGGAGGTGTCCCAGCCCATGGCAGGGGGGCTGGACCAGGTGATTTTTAAAGGTCCCTTGCGGCCCAAACCATTCTGTGATTCTATGAAAAGTGTGGTATATGATTAACTTTTTGCAAAGAAAGGCTATAGACGATCTTTTTCTGTTGTACACTCTGATAATTCAATGTCCTAGTTAAAGACACAGTCAATACTGTATTTTTGTTTGAAAGAACTATATACAAATGGCAAAAAATTAAGATATACAAAGAACTATGACACAAACAGGCTTGAAGAAAGCTCCAAGAACTGTTGAAAACAAATGAAATGCAGCATTTTAAACACTCAATTTCAGAAATGGCAGAACAACTGGTCCTTCAGAAAACACAAGAAAAGAAAAACCAAGTCAGTTATGACTAACTTGCTTGGTCTAGGGACAACCTTGTATCCAAAGGTTGTACCGAAACCAAGGATTAATGTTTCAGAGAAGATACTCGCCTTTATGCAACAAAATTTCAGGATTAAATCTAAAGATTAGGAGCACTACAGAAAGCCAGTATAAGCCTACTATGAGATGATACTGTGGAAAAGATTCAGCATTCGATATTAGGTAAACTATTTTTAAAAACAATGGTGTGACTACAATGAACGTAACCAATTAGAATGTAACTAATGAAAAAACTAATGGTGGTTTTAATTCTACATTGCCTACTAAATTCTAATCTAGAAATTCAATTTTTCAACTTGACTCCCTTAAGAAATGAGGCTTATGACCTCCTTTAGTTCCCCACTTAACTTCTGTAGCCATTAATTAGAGGGGAAGGTATCAGCATGATAGGACCTGTGAGCCATGTGTTTCACTTCTTGTCAGCTGAGAGACTGCAAGTTTTGCTGCCGTACTCATCAAGCAGTCTGCTGAAGCATCTAATTTACCCACATGTCCTGGTTGGTCAAATCAACACATTTTTTCCCTTACTTGGTAAACACATTATACAAATATAAACTGGGAATGTAATAGGGAACTATAAATAATGATTTTTGATGTCAGGCATAAAAGTCATAAAACCCAGTGTGGCTCTGTCCAGTTAGTAACTTATTTAATGGAAAGCGATAAAACTTTTAAGAAGTGTGTTTATAGTCTACAGGCTGTTTCTTACCTGCATGTACAGGGGCTTGAAAAGTTGCTGGTGTGCTCTCTCCTACATTCCTCTTTGACTCTAGCATCTGCCTCACTGTGCCAGCATTTCTATGGAATGAAGTTTCAGTTAGCATTTCTTAATGAGCCACACGAGGTATACTTATGAACAGTGCAATGATGTAAAATAATGACAGCTATTCTTTTCACTGAGATTTTCTAAACCGATTTGTCATCTGCTCCCCCGTGCAAATTAACTTTGGATATTCCCCCACTGAAAAAAGATGCAGAATTATTTGCAAATTTTCAAATGCTTGCATCGAGTTTGCCTTTCACCATGAGAATTTCCCCTTTCTTGAAATTAAACTTCCATTTTTATCCACTATTTTTTAACCTATGAAACAACACTCATCTCAGTTTACCTAAGAATGGATTCAGTACTGTCCATTATGATTTCTGTGAAAGAAAATCTAATTTTACAATTGAAGAGCAATGAAGGAAAGGGACTTCAATTTAAAACAAAAAAAATACAGGATTATCCATTACATTTGGTATCTCAAGCGTCCCATTGTAAATTTTACCATAGTAGCAGTGATGTGGTTTGCTTACCGATATGTCGCACTACTTGTGTTTGCAGTGGTTGCAGTCTCGCTTGCTGTTTTCCCTGGAGATGGAGATGCATTTGGTGTATTCTAGGGAAACAAAAAAAAAGAGAAAAGCCATAACAAAGCAATCCTAAGTCAGCTCGCAAACTTATGTTTTCATTGTATTTCATATTCATTCATCTCTGTGTGAGATATACATTTTTCTGAAGCCAAAGCTACAGGAGAACTTGATGTGTTTTACAACCCCCAAAACCTCCTTGGTTGTATCTACCTCCCTCTCCTACAGCTTCCCTTCTTATAAGTCTCTTGCCTTCAGGTTTTCATAGCATGAGCATCCAAATTTCTTCTTGAATATTAATGGACATTTTGCTTCAATTTCTTTACAGTAGTTAGTCCAAAATACTCATTCCAGATGAATAATATTGTTTGTAACCATTCCTCTCCCCCCACCACCCCAAAATCAAGGTACTGGGATTCACTGATTTACTCTGTACTATTCATACTGAAGCAAATTAGATTTACTAACATACAGTTTTAAGGTGCTTTCACATTAGTAATACCTAAAGAACCTTCTGTACAAATCAGAATTACATAACAAATGTTAAAAGACTAATCCTTTATTACCACTTCCTTTAACAAAGTAAGACAAGTATACTTTGTGAACACCATTGAACAATGAGGACACATCTTTCTGTAGGCAGAATTTCTTTCTTTTTTAACACGAGGTTTAGGCTAACTCAGAAAAACAAATATAACAAATCTAATTCTTACTTCCTGTCTTTTCTTCAAGTCCTCCCTGGCTGCTCCAAACCGCTTTGTCAACCTAGCGATTTTAGCCTAAACAGGAAGAAGATGAAAAACAAAACCAAAACCATAAATATCCTCCCCAAGAACCATCAAAGAAATTATACAAACTAAAAGATACATAATTAAGACATCAACTCAAAGGCTATTTTCATATCAGAGGAAATTATTCTTCACTGAAATACAGTACAACTGTATTACTTCAGAGAGCCAGACACACATCTATCACAATCAAAATATCTTAAGAGACAACTTGAGTTATTTTCCTTCCTATTAAAATTACATAAACAGAATCTGTTTTGCAGAGGTTCACACAACATTCTGCATGAATGAAAGCAACTGAAAACACCAACACATTCACAGCCTTATACGATGTTATTAATTTGACACTGTAGTTAATGGCTACAGACACTGATAAACAAGTATACTGAAAGAGTCTTAGACAGCACTTAAAAAAAACAACATAAAATGTCTGGACCAGTATTAACTGGTCTGACAAACTCCATACTACTTTTATGTTTAAAGTAAAACGGCCTTATTGCTTGAATTTGTTGACATAAGCTTTTAATTGTCTTGTCACTTCAAAATTCTTTTAGTTTTGTGATGTTCCTCATCTCACCACTAAATACATAATTTCTGTAACAAATGCAAGAAAGCATACTGCATTCAACACTAGCCTTTTCTTTTCCTTGCTAGAACATTTAGATTCTGGGGAAATAACTTGGATAAGAATTGTGTGATACTTCTTTGTCTGAATGTTCTACAAAGTCTAATACTATTGTCCTCTCCTTTCTGCACTTTTCTGTTTTTCAGCAAATTTCTGGCTTCATAGAGGCATTTGATATTTTCATACTGAACATTTATTTGAAGACTTGTCTCAGTGGAACATAAGAGTGAAAAAGCAGTTTACTAATCAGTTTACCAGAAGGAAGATTTGCTTTGGGATCTTTTTTATAATTACTTGGCTGCTTTCTTCTTTCTGAGTAAGGAAATAGGATTTTGCAACTCAAAAGCAACATTAGTGTTTGTTGCTCCCCCCTCACGTACTTCCCTTTGCAAAGTTCAAAATGGCTTCACTACTGACAACTACAGGAGAGGAGACTTACTATTAAATGCTGAGGAATTTGTTTGAAAATTTGACTCTAGTATGCAGTTCTATGCACAAACACTCACCTGTAGTTCAGTAAGCATAGTTTTATGCCTCTTACTACATTCTACTTTCTCTATCCGGGCTTTCAAGTCTGCCAGAGTCTTGTCAAATACAGCACACTGTAAAGCAGTAAGTTTTTCTTCTAACAGCCTCTGGATAACCTGCAAAATTATTACAGCAAAAAGGAAAAATAGCAACCCAATCCCAGAATATGGAAGACCATATATAAAAGTATTCTCAACTCTTAACAAGTATCCTGCTACAAACAGAATTATGACAATGGTTGTGGCCCGACAATCAAATAAATCTGTAGTCACCAATAAGCATGTGGTTGCACAGCTAAGAAAAGTTTCTGCATCTATTTTGGCAAATAGAAGTGGTCCCTCTTTGCCATTAATTCAAGAAATTAATTTTGTTGCAATATGATAGGTGTTCAAAACTTTATTACATTAAAAAGAACCTCAACAACAGAAGATATTTTCACAAAACACTGCATTTACACAAATTAATTTTTCCTCTTTTCTTCTCTTGAGAGGTAAACTGACATTCAAAGAACAGAAGCTAAAGACATTTGAGATGCATTTTCCCCTAGCAGAAATGCCCTGTGTTGCTTTTCTTGCAGAAGCTAAAAGTTAAAAAAGAAGACTGATTTCTGCAAAGTTTACTTGTTACAATTACTATTTATTTGTTTTCTCCCTCCTACATGTACTGCAGTACAAAAATTTTCCTCAGGAAACAAAAACAAGCAAGCAACAAACGTGATTCAGTTCCCCTCATCCCACATTAATGAAGTTACAACACACACTAGCAACCTAACTAGTGGAAGAAGAGCATTTTTTAAAATTAAGCCCATAGGTTTCTTTACATGTTAATGGCACAATCAGGCAATCACTGGCTCTACAAAAATCTGCAAAACACTGTGTTGACTGCACTCTTGTCTGGAGATACTTTCCTTAAAGCTAGGCACACAAAGTGCACCAGATATAAACATTTGCCACACAAATACCTCCTTTGCTAAGATTCTCCATCTATAGTCACATGTGACTTGAGAGTTTAAATATTTAATACATTTCAAATATAAACCTTGCAGAACAGTTTTCAAATGATACTTGGTTTCTTCTCAAAAGCAGGGCTATATAGGACTTTATATTAATTAAGCCACTTTTGTTATTTGAATGACATTCAATTTTCAACCACAAAAAAAGAATGTGGGTAAGGAGTATGTGGGAAAGGATAGCTAAATCAAAGCTGGTAAGACAAGTGAAAGGTGTGTGTTTGCCATCTTCAGTCTGCACCTCCGTTTTACCTTTTCTAATTTTTGGTCAACATCCCTTCTGGCTGTAATTTTCACTTGGAGTTCTGCTTCATAATCTTCTCCCACATACCGATGACGTTTAGAATGAACACTGTCCATGTCCTCAGATCTGGAACGCTTTCTCCTTGACACTTCACCTGGAACAATTAGATACAATTGCTTGTGAGGAACCTTTAAAAAAAAAAAGGTATCTGCAGAATACCATGATTATTATGAAGTTTCATCTGTCCCCAGTTTAAGCTTTGTCATCCTAGACCAGTAAGAATGCCTTTGCAAAAACAAGATGTTTGATGACACCAAAGCAGAGCCATCCTTTTTCTCTATACCTTGCTACCCTGTTAAGAGTTCTGCTTCGTGATTCACCAACCACTGCCCGAAATGCAAAATGGCTGTAGTACTCCCATTCCCTTCCCCAAAACTTGCCTCCAGTTCTTCCTGCTCCTATCACCACTGTCCTATAATGAAACATGACTTCTGAGAAGCAAAACAAAACTCTCTTCTGAAAAAGGAATCCTCAGGATTTCAGTCAAATAGAAGTACATCTCCTGCGTCTGTCAGCAATGAAGTTTTTTTCTTCTTGCCATGGAATTTTAACCTCCAGTTCCTTGCTGAACACACATTCAAACCTTTTTCTTCTTGGGTAAGATGGAAAGTAAAAATCTAACAAAAGAACAGACTCAAACCAGAACTACATTATAAAAGGAATTTTCATCACAGTGATGAAGCCCTAAAGAACCAAAGAGACCTCATTCACTCCTCCAACTCCTGACTTTGTATCCCCTAGAGATCCATATGTAAAACACCAAGAACAAGTAAATTATCAGGAAGGAGAGCTACAGAGCATACTGTGGGTACTCAACCACCATCCAAACACTGAAGACCACAGCCTCCAAAGTTACCTGATGGGTGGAGAGTGAAAAAGAGAGTAAGAGTGTGTACCAATGAAAGGACGAGAGAAATGGGTACAAATTGAAATACGGAAATTCCATTCAAATCTATAAAAACTTTTTTCACTGTGAGGGTGATCAAACACTGGAAGTGCGACAGTGGAACTCTGTCTCCATCTGTGGTGATATTCAAAATCTGCCCAGACCTGTTTTAGAGCAGGGGCTTTGGACTAGATAATCTCCAAAGGTCCCTTCCAATCTCAAAGATTTGATGTTTGTAACATGTGTCACCATTGAAGCGTAATAGTCTTAAAGTGACATACTTATCTCTGTTTGTTTCTCCTCTTCTTTGTGGTCATCTTCTCCTTCTTTATCCTTCTCCTCACTCTCCTTTCTTCTCTCCTCCTCCACCTCTTCTACAAACAGAAGAAAATACTCCATGTATTACTCATGCTGACCAACAAAACTCTTTATTAAAGAGTCCTACTTTGACCAGAGAACTTAGAATATTTGTGAAAAAGCACGCTGGGGAAGGCAAGAGAAGTAAATATGCCACAGAGGAATGCAGGCAGGAAACAAAAAAATCAGAAAAAGATTTGGAACAAAAATCTGAACTACCATACGACACAGCAAGATTCACTTTTGGATTTGCTTAGCTTGAAAATCAACAAAATGCCTCAAAGTAACTTCAGACATGAAACAATGTATTTTTAATGTAGTTAAAGTTAACAAAAATTATTTTAGTTAATTTTATTAATATTTTAGTTAATTATTTAGTTAATAATTTCATGGACAAAATATGATTATATTTCTCTATTCACAATTGGCAAATTCACCCATGATCTTTATAGCAGAAGAGGTCTAGTTTCTTCTTTTCTTAGCAAATATAAATTTTCAGTTAAAGTTCTTCCCTAAGTCAAAGTATCATAACTTAAGACTACTCATTTTAAAACAAAGTTTAGGAAATTTTTCAAGAAAAATCTGACATAACACCCCCAAATATGCACAATATTTAAATGAAAATTGCTAACACTTTCTGAAAAAATTTATTACATGTTTCATGAACTTCCATTATGTGTTTCATACAGGCTGTATTTGCTGCCTCCTGTGCTTGCTAGATACAAGACAAAACGATTAAGATTATGTTAAAATTATGAATCTAACAAAATGTAACAGAACAAGTCAGCACAGTTATACACATCTTGATCTGTACAATTTTTCTCCAATTTCCAATCCTCCTTTACAGCAGAGTTTTACATTTTTGAAGAGAAATATCTGGCTGCAAAGATATGCTTTGTTCTCCCTTAACACTAAATTTTACTTCTATTATGAAGAACATCTGAATGACTTGGAATAAGTTGCGTAAGAAATCAGAAAAATGAACAAGTCAGAAAACCCAAAACTGAACTGATGAGATTTTAAATGTTGTTAATTTATGCAAGAATGTATATTCTTATCACAGGAATTCTTAAAAAACCCATCTGATTTACTTTTAGTGTAATAAAATGGCACAGTGCCAATGCCACCTGCTTTTTAAGACTTAGAGATAAGCTTCATGTATGCAATTGTTACCAACAGAATAGGACCAAGAATCTAACGGAAAGTTAAGTTCATGAGTACTTTTTCTACAATTTACAGATTTTTATATATATATAGATAGATAGATAGATACAGATATATATATATATAAAGATACAGTTATTCCATGGAAAGATACCTATACTTATAGTGTTATTAAAATACCATGTTACAAGTTTCGAAGCTGAGCTTTTTGAGTTCTACGTAGAGAACAAAGAAGTTTCAAGGGTGAAGAAGTCCCTTCCTTATAAACTTCCAGCACTCTGAACAAATTTACCCCAGGTTCCAGTATAAATTGGGG